GCAGGTGGCGAAGGACGGCGCTGGATGGCGGCAGCAGGCGCCGAGCAGTGGAGCACGACGGACGGCGGTATCGAGTGGCCGGCAGCATCGGGTGGCAGAGGACGGTGGCCGGCGGCAAGAGGCTGCCGGCGGTGGAGCACGGCGGCGAAGGACAGCGGCCGGCGGTGGATGGCCGCGGCCGGTGCCGGGTGATGGAGCACAGTGGCCAGCGAAGGACGATGGCCGGCGACAAGAGACGCCTGGCGATGGACGGCGATAAGAGGCGGCTGGTGGTGGAGGGTGACTGACAGGTGGCGACAAAGGACGGCAGGAGGTGGCGGCGAGCGGGTGGCGGCCGGCGTTGGGCGGCGACAAACAACGGAGGATGGTGGCAAGAGGAGGCGATTGGCAAAGGACGGTGGCAGGAGGCGGCCGACGGTGGTGAGAGGCGATCGGCAACAATAGCAAGGGGTGAGTGGGTGGCTGGCTAGTAGCAAAGGCGAGCGATGAGAAGAGTTTTATTTCTCATTTTTTATCCAGAAATAGAAAAGTAGTTTTTTTTTACTTCTAATTTATGTTCCAAACCTATTTATGGAGTAGAAATTTGTTCTAAAAATAGAAAAATGAAATTGCGTTACCAAACGGATTTCTGTTTTAAACCTGTTCCTAGAAATAGAAAAATAGAAAAACAAAAAAACATAATGGTTATCATTCGCGCACTTACAAGAGAGAAATAATAACAACAAATACATTAAAGACAAAATATTAACAGAATGAAATAAAACGTCAAGCGCAAAAATCTTAAGCATTGACTAATTAATTAATGGTTGGATGATTTGTAGAACAATACATGTGACATAGTTTTCTAAGTGACTAAGTTGCCACCTTCAAAGGTGCAAAAGCGTGTATTTGATTTTCTATTTGTAGGGTTCCTAGCCCAATCTGCATCCGTGTCTTCATATTCAGGCCTAAGATTGGCAAGAAGTTGGAAAATCTTGTCATGCTCTTCACATTGGACATAAATCTCAATAGTCTAAGCTGGTGGTCGATACTGTCGCAATTCATCTCACTTCTTTTTCAGATTATCAAAATATTAGGTGAATGTTTGATTAGGTGGTTGCTCAATCCTGTTGCAACTCAAAACATGGGATGCATTATCAACATTGCCATACATATCCTGTAAAGAATCCCACAGGGACTTGGCAGTCTCTGAATAAGCAAATATCTCATAAATTTGAGATTCCATTGAATTAAACAACCAAGACATGACCATATTATTATTTGCCTACCATTCAACGAATTTTGCATCTATAGATGCAGGTGCTCTGACAAAACCACTCGCATAACCCAATTTCGATCTACCCCGAAGAGCTATAGAGACAGCTCTAGACCAAGGGAAATAATTATACTCATGAAACATAGGGAAAATGACATAAATGGTCCCTGATCTTTGGACTAATGTGCAATGTGGTCGCTAAACTTTTAATTTGTTTAATGTAGTCCATGAACTTTACCCAATTTGCAATGTCATCCCTTAACTTTTAATTTGTTCAATATAGTCCATGGACTTTTGATACATGTTCAATTTAGCCCCGGGATTATATGAAAATGTTTAATGTTGTCCCTGAACTTCAATTAATGGAAGGACAACATTGAACATTTTCATATAGTTTAGGAACTAAATTGAACATGTACAAAAAAATTTAGGGACCACATTGAACAAATTAAAAGTTTAGGAACTACATTGCAAATTGAGCCAAAATTCAGAGACTGTTTATGTCATTATCTTTTTAACATAATAGTTGTAAGTTTATTGGACATCTTAGAAATAGATTTATTGTTATCAGCCATAGTGTTAAACAGAAAAAGAGCACAAAGTTCAGCAAACTTATTTAGGACCAATCGAGTCTAATAACATATCGTCCTCAATCAAGAGAAATCGGTCCGAAGAATAAGATTACATGAATAATTCATAATGGGCTGCTGGTAGTGCAATATTGCGACAACAATAAAAAATTCTGTTTCTCAATCACCAACAGACAAGCGTAAGCATTGACAATGGAGCCGACCTTAGAATTGTGTTTCGCTCTGATACAAGTTTTATGATGATCATGTATAGAAGAGAGAGAAAAGAAGAGAAGATGAACACTCGATGGTTTACATGGTTTAGACGACCAAAAATATAATCCTTTGGAAGCTTACATCTAAGGTGGTAATTCCCAATTCATCTTATCTTCTTTGAGAGGATTTATTATCCTTTAATATAGAGCAATACACAGAGTTACAGTCATTAATTTGATAACTATAACTATCGCATAACCCAGTTACATCGTCGTAGTCAGATCTCCTATTATATTGGAATTACAACGATCTGACATCTTTACCGTTCCAACAAAGAAGACGAGTTTATGGAGTGAGGGGAGAGCTCGCGGAGGTGTACGTTATATCCATGAATACTGTCGATGGGGCATTTGTTCGGGAGGAGCTATAATTAGGGCCAGGCATTGGGGCTGCTCTATGCGTTTTTTTTTCCTTTTTGTTTTTTGCCCTTTCCCTGTTTCTCTTGCTTTCGCGGGAAAACTTGGTTTTTCTTGAGAAAATCTGGTGATTAGCTGGAATGCGGGCTGAGTTTGTTTGGATTTTTAGGAGGCGGTTGGTTCAGTGTTTGTTCTCCATTTGAAGACGCTCTATGATTTGTGTGGACAATGTGATGATTTTCTTTTTTCAATTACATCTTTTGTTTGGGTTTAAATAATGTTGGATTAATTTAGTTGTGATTGGTGTAAACTGAGAAAATCATTCCCGTTCAAAATACCTTTGAAATGCCGAGTGAGTATCTTTTACCGCGTAATAGCTAATGCATTTCAAAAAGGGAAACAATAATGATAGTATCTACTGGAATAAATAAAAAGAAGTGTTGATTCCTTAATTATTGGTAAAATCATCACCCAACTAAACCAAATCTTGTATGTTTAGGGTGCGCATGGAATGCATTCCGGAATAAAAATTCTGTTCCGGAACAGAATGGCGTTTGTTAAAAAATTTCCGGAATGCATTCTGGAGCGATTTTTGCATTCTAGAATAAAAATGCGTTTGTCAAAAATACTTGATTCCAGAATGCATTTTTGATTTCAGAATGAGTTTTTGGCAAGAAAAAGAAAAGCTACTTTTTGTAGCTTCTTGATTCCGGAATGCATTCTCCCTATTTTCTCACAATTTTTTTTTCAGAAAATGCATAAAAATTGAAAAATTCTAGAAAAATTCATAAAAATTTCCAGAAAATAAAAAAAAGTCTGATTTCGGGAAAATATGAAATTTGGTGAAATTTTTTTTTAAAAATAAAAAAAAATAAAAAATTTCAAAATTTCACATAATAGCTTAAAACACATGTGGCCACCCACTTTGAGTGAAATTTAAATTTTTTTAGGTGCCCAAAAAAAAATCAAAAATTTCAAAACTTCACAAAATGGCTTAAAATACCTGTGGCCACCTACTTTGAGTGAAATTTAAATTTTTTGAGGTGCCTACAAAAAATAAAAAAAATAAAAATTTTCAAAACTTCACAAAATGGCTTAAAATACCTATGGCCACCCACTTTGAGTGAAATTTAAATTTTTTGAAGTGCCCAAAAAAATAAAAATAAAATAAAAATTTCAAAACTTCACAGAATGGCTTAGAATACATGTAACCACCCACTTTGAGTAAAATTTAAAATTTTTTAAGTGCCCAAAAAAATAAAAAAAAATAAAAAAAAATAAAAAATTCAAAACTTCACAAAATGGCTTAGAATACCTGTGGCCACTCACTTTGAGTGAAATTTAACTTTTTTAGGTGTCCAAAAAAAATTTAAAAAATAAAAAATTTCAAAACTTTACAAAATGGCTTATAATACCTGTGGCCACCCACTTTGAGCAAAATTTAAATTTTTTTAGGTGCAAAAAAAATCAACAAATCAAAATAGATTTCTATTCCATAAATCAATTTCTGGAGCAGAATTAGTCATGTTTTACCAAACAGATTTCTTCTCCAGAAATCAATTTCTGGCAAGAATTCCAGAAATTAATTTCTGGCAAGAATTTGATTTTTGGAGCAGAATGGTTACTATTTGCACCCTTAGCAACTCCTTATTCCATTCTGTGTCTCACAATACTAAGGACTATAATAGCAAGTCACCCTCTTTTTTTTATTTGCCGTTGATACACATGGCCATTTATATCCATTAAAAATAGAAAAAACTACCAAAAAAAGTCTCAAACTTGTTGTATTTGTGTCAATTCATTCATAGACATTTCAATTTGTCCAATTTACTTCAAAACCTTTGAACAATTAGCCAATTAAGTCCTTTCGGTCAATTTTCGTCGGAAATCGCTAATGTAGACACTGGTCATCCTATATTGCATAATTGGTACTAACGTAGACAATTTTTGTAATTTTTTTTATTTTTTCTTTTCTGTTTTTTTCATTGTGGCCGCTGACCCGAGGTGAGGGCCCTCGCCGGCCAGAAGACCTTGCTTGGGCAAGGGCCCTAGGGCCATCGCGGTTGGGGTCATTGTGGCCTCACTGGTTGTGGGCGAGGGCCAAATATTATAATAGGAGGGCCAACTTAAACAAAAAGTATACAGTTTGATTATCACAAGAAACTTAAAAGACAAACATTAAAAGTCTAACAATGTTAATAGCCAAATTAAGAACCATCCAAAATCAAGGACTACAAGTCTACAATAGCACACCGCCCTCTTTTTTTAATTTTCCATTAAATGCACAAGACCTTTTATATCCATAAAAAAATTTGAAAAAAGAATGCATGACCCATTATTTGCAGCGACTCCCCATGCTGATAAGCCTCGTCTCTCTCTCTCCCCTTGCTAACCTCCAAAAGTCCAAAGTCTGCCACCGCCCATGTGCTCTCTCTCTCTCTCTCCTTGACCGGTGTCTACTTGCAAATGAGAACGTTAGGTGGAAAATTTACAATTAAATTTAACTTTAAAGTGAGCCAGCCAAGGTTTTAAGGTATTGGCACTCATTTGCCTAGTTCATATCCGAACCCTCAGCTCATTTCTTAGCTGGCCCACGCCACACCATCCTTTCTTTCTCTTTAGGGAGAGAGGGATATCCAGAAGTAATAAGCTTCCTAGCTATGGCAAATAGTGATGCGGCATCATCATTAGGAGGTGAGTACCAGGTGTTTCTAAATTTCAGAGGACCTGACACTCGTAATGGATTCACAGACTTTCTCTACCACGACTTAATAGATGTCGGAGTCCGTGTATTCCGAGATGACGATGAACTCCGCGTCGGCCAAGAGATTTATGAGAACCTTCTAGGTGCTATCAACAACTCCATAATCTATATACCTATTTTTTCTCGCACTTATGCTTTCAGTAAATGGTGCCTTTGGGAGCTTGCACAGATAGTGGATAAAGTGTCTAAGTCCGAGGGCGAAAAATGTATCCTTCCCATTTTTCTTGATGTAGAACCTGAGGACGTCAAACTTAAGACTCCACAATATGAAGTTGCTTTACTGGAGCACGAGAAGCAGTTTCCTGATGAAGTCAGGGTATGGAGAGCGGCTCTTGCAGCAGTGGGTAAAATCAAGGGATTGAACGTGAAATCAAGGTAAAACTCTTTTAAGATTCGATTTTTTTTTTAGAGGATATCATGTTGCCCGGTTGAATGATTTCTTTTATTCATTTTTTTAACGGAAAATATTGAAAACTACTGCAATTGGTGCTCTCATTCAACTTTACATCCGCTGCTTTTAACATCTTCGCTAAAATATTACCTTGCGAAAATCTGAGAGCGAAGGGAGAGATCCAAAATTTGAATTAAGGAGAGGGTGAGAGAGGTCTTTGCTGTAGAGAAAAGGAGGTTGGCGTCCAGAAAAGAAAGAGGGGAAGGAGAAAATCGCAATCATTGAAGAGAGAGGCCGCTTTTTTGTGCGAATGGTAGGAGAAGGACGCCACAATTAATGAAGAGAGAAGAGAAAGGCAAAAATTTGACTCAGAAGAAAGGTGAGGCCCGGCCTCCACGTGGAGCCACGTGTTGCTTTATGATTGGGCTAGTGTACGGTGACGTGGAGTGGCCGGCCCACCTAATGTATTCTCTGTACTAGTAGGTAGCGATCGAGGACAGGCTGCAGCTAAAGCTTGACGGTGACAGGTCAAAGAGAATGGTGATGATAATTTTGAGGAAAATGGAAATTGGGTCAATAAGTTATGGCGACAAGTGCAATTTGAAAAATAACAATGTGAAAATAGGGGATTCATTTTGTATATTACAAAATGTGGAGATACAAGTGGATAAGTGTGGAAAATGATTTTTGCAAGTTGTCCTTGTTATTTTCCTTTCCACCTTTCTTTTCGGTTGTATCAGGCAAACTAAAAAACCTTGAAATAGTAATCACCTATCTAATCTAATCCAAATTAATAAAGGTGGAAATGAATAGTGGGGCACATGGCTCGAACATGAGGTATCGATGAATTGGGGCACAGCAGTGACATGGCATGTCATTTGTATCTTGTTTTGGGGGTCATCGTTTGGCTTTATATTAACCACTTAATATGTTTTTTCTCATTCATCAATAACAACCATAATTTGGCTGTCAATTGATAAACCTAAATCTATCATATGGTGAATTAACGCCTGCTACACACTTCATAACATGTGGGCACCCATCAGCTTCTCCTATGTAAATGAGATGTTTTTGCACAATTCATTAGAGTTGGCAATCTCTATGCTTTTGGGTTATGTAGTCAATGTGACCAACATTCCGATTGAGAATCTTAGATTTTCAAGCAAAAGATAAATATATTGGAAAGAAAATTGAGATGGCTTTTCTATTTTGTTTTTATATTGACAAGGAAGTTCACCTTAAATAGGTAAATTCCAAGGCTATGGCTTATTCTACTAACTATATGGACTCTATGGACCAGGTAAGCGGCAAGCCAAAACTCAGGTTGGTTACCCAGACATAAGAATGTTTTCACTTGATGGTGTGGAGAATCAAACGTGTGTTGTGCGCGTAATCTACACACATACACTACAAAAAAACATCTTTTTTCCAACGAAATTTCCAACGAAAAATTGGGAAAAATTCGTTGGAAAACGAATTTCCAACGAATTTTCCAACGAAAAAAAATTCGTCGGTAATTCTTCGTCGCAAATTTTTCCAACGAAAAATTTCAATTTTTGTTAGAAATTTGCGACGAAATTTTTTTCGTTGGAAAATTCGTGACTAAATTCGTTGGAAACACTACAAAAAAACAACTTTTTTCCAACGAAAAATTTGGAAATCCAACGAAATTGTTTTTGGTCAAAAAATCGTGGCAAAATTAGTTTCGTCGTGACAAAAATTGTGCGGGCGAGGGCCAGCCTCGCCGCCAGCGAGCTCGAGGTCGCCCAGATTTGGGCGAGCTTGAGCTCGCCTAGATTTGGGCGAGTTCTGGGCGACCTCGAGCTTGCCGGCCATGGCGAGCTCGGCCCTCGCCATGACCGGCGAGGGCTAGCCTCGTCGCCGGTGAGCTCGAGGTCGCCCAGATCTGGGCGACCTCGAGCTTGCCGGCCATGGTGAGCGTTCTGGGCGAGCTCGAGCTCGCCGGCCATGGCGAGGCCGAGCTCGCCATGGCCGGCGAGCTCGAGGTCGCCATGGCCGGCGAGCTCGAGGTCGCCATGGCCGGCGAGCTCGAGGTCGCCATGGCCCGGCGAGATCGAGGTCGCCCAGATCTGGCCGAGTTCTGGGCGACCTCGAGCTCGGCCCTTGCCATGGCTGGCGAGGCCCAGCCTCGTCGCCGGCGAGCTCGAGGTCGCCCAGAACTCGCCCAGATCTGGGCGAGCTCGAGCTCGCCCGCCATGGCGAGGGCCTGGCTCACGGCGGTCACACTCGACCTCGCCGCCGCGAACGCGACGGACACCGCCCCCTTCATCGGCCGGATGCTCGGCGGCGGCGGGGGGAGCTTGGGCCCGGCGGTGGAGCAGTGCCTCAGCGAGTGCGTCGACCAGTACGCGGACGCGGTGGAGCAGGTGGAGGCGTCGATCGCGAGAGAGAGAGAGAGAGAGAGAGAGAGAGAGAGAGAGAGAGAGAGAGAGAGAGAGAGAGAGAGAGAGAGAGAGAGAGAGAGAGAGAGAGAGAGAGAGAGAGAGAGAGAGAGAGAATGTGGAAATTGAGAATCGTTACGGCAATAATGAGCGCGAAAATGTTGAATACGGAAGGAGTAGGGTTTTCGTTGCAAAATTCGTGGGAAATTTCTCACGAATTTTGCAACGAAAATTGTACACACTAAAATAATTGCCTGGAAAATTGAAATTCGTGGGAAAATTCGTTGGAAATTTCCAACGAATTTTCCCACGAATTTTAAAAATGCTGAACAATACCGGGTTTTTTTGAATTCGTTGGAAATTTCCAACGAAAAATTTTTCGTCGCAAAATTCGTTGGAAATTTCTAACGAAAAATTTTTCGTCGCTAATTTCCAACCAATTTTGCGACGAAAAATTTTTCGTTGTTAATTTCCGACGAATTTTACTTTTCGTTGGAAAATTTGTCGCAAATTTGCGACGAAAATTTTTTCGTCGCAAATTTTCGTGGCAAAAATCCAGTTTTTTTGTAGTGATATATTAATTCCTTAACCATTAAGTTAACTCCATGGGAGTTGAGTTTCTTGATTTTCAGGCTCGAACAAATCTTAATGTGACATGGCTCTTTAAATGCCGTTACACTTGACATAATCAGATTCATAGAGGACTTACATGCATAAGTTAAGGCAATAAAAACATCTTGGGCTTTTTTTTTGGGATTATGTTTTTTTCACCAAATTGGCGTTCAATGGATGACATTGCAGATGTATACGTTATCATGGTTCGTGATTCTCCTATTACGAGTGCTGAGATTTTTTCTAGGCCTACCTATAAATGCCAAAATTTTGCTTGTGCACGATATAGTAGCTCACTAGGTAACTTTGGCCACCATGCAAGCCACTATTCTAGGCTTTAGATATTTCTATAATCACAAATATACGACACATCAAGTGAATTCTACTAAATTAGTCTATATTGATTATTCGGTGTATTTAGATATGTTTGTGATTTACTTCAATCTTATTGTTAAAATTATGACAATCCCACTTGTGATGCATGGGTACGAGATTAATCTAGTTAACTAATGAAAGAGCTTTTGTATATTACAGCCAAGCAGAGATTGTCGAATCGGTTGTTGAAAAGGTATTGGAAAAGCTGGAGATAAAACAAAAGTCATTGACTGAACATTTAGTTGGACTTGATGACCGGGTAAAAGACTTGACTGAGTTTTTAGATGTCAACCATGGTGATGTGCGGCTCCTTGGAATTTACGGAATGGGTGGCATTGGTAAAACAACTTTTGCCAAGTTCATCTTCAATCAACTATATTGCCACTTTGGAAAGCATTGTAGCTTCCTCGAGGACATCCGAAAAAGCTCGTCAAGCGATGAGGACACAGTCCAGTTGCAAAAGAAATTATTATCTCATATAGTTGGTTCTGGATCTGTTGAACAATTCATGGATATTGAACAAGGAAAGAAGAGGATTGGGGAAACACTCAGCAAACATAAGTTCCTTGTGGTTCTGGACGATGTTGATAAGAAAAAGCTCGTTAAGGAATTACTAGGAAATTCCAAATTGCATCGAGGATCTAGGATAATCATTACAACGAGAGACATTGATATCCTGCAAGATGAGGTATTTGATACTCAGCAAGATGATGATAAGAAAGTGCTAGGAAATTCTAAATTATATCGAGAATCTAGGATAATCTTTACAATAAGAGACAATGATATCCTGCAAGATGAGGAATTTGATACTCTACAGGATGAGGGATTTGATACTCTACAGGACGAGGGATTTGATACTCTACAAGATCCCGAGGGATCTGTTACTTTGCAAGATGAGGGATCTAAAGTTAAAATAAAACGGTATGAGATGCAAATGATGGATGATGGTCTTGCACTTCGGCTTTTTTGTCGGCATGCCTTTTACAAAGATTGTCCTTCGGATGATTATCGTGAGCTTTCCATAGAAATTGTTTCACTTTTGGGAGGACTTCCTTTGACTATTGGAGTCGTAGGTTCCTTGCTTAAGGGGGAAGAAAAAGCATTTTGGGAAGAGACATCGGTCAGATTAAGGAAAGTACCTGAGGAAAAGACTTTAGAGAAGTTGAGAATTAGCTATGATAACTTAGACAAATATCAGCAACAAATTTTTCTCGATATAGCATGCTTCTTTTTCAATGAGAAGAAGACCGATGCAATTTACATATGGGACGATTGTCAATATTATCCTATAAGAGGAATTAAAGTCCTTACTGAGAGGTGCTTGATAAAAATATTGGACAACGATAATTTCTGGATGCATGATCAACTAATAGCACTCGGAAGGCAAATTGTTCGTGAAGACGGTCAAGATGACCTTGGAAAGAATAGTAGATTTTGGATTGTAGAAGAGGCCCTTCATATCATAGGAACCATAAAGGTAAATAAGAATTCCTTTCTTGTTTAGGAACTTTATCAATTTTTTCTTGCCCATTCGAGTTGTAAAACATAGTGGTTGGAAGTTGACAAATTCTTCATGTCATTGCAAAATTTCACTTGCAGAGGAAGCGTGAGGTTCAAGGGCTTAAGCGTGTACCATTTGAGATTACAAATGAAGAGTTTGAAAGGTTACAAAACCTTAAATTGCTCAAGTTATACAAGGGAACTTATGCTGGGGACTTTGCAAAGTGCCGCTCAAATTTGATATGGTTCTCTTGGCATTCTCCTTGGGATTTTACGGCGGACAAGTTGTATTTGGATCGTCTTGTTGTTTGTAAACTCAACGATATTGACTTCAAGGATGATTCAAAAGCATGGGACTTGATCAAGGTAAATTACATGTTTTAATTTTAGTCTAATAGTTTCCATGTATATTATGCAATGGTTCTTACACTTGACATGCCATCCATTTTTATAGAGGTCACAGGATTTGAAAGTTCTATCTATTACTCAATGTTCTGGCATAACAACGATCCCAGACATCTCTAAATGCTCGGGTTTAGAGAGGTTGACTCTTGCACAGTGCTCTAGTCTAAAGAGAATTGAAAGCTTCATTGGAAATCTACAGTCATTGATTGAGTTAAACATCGAAAGGTGTTGTAATTTTATATATTTGCCTAAAGAAGTGGGGGCACTAGTAAAGCTTAAGCACTTCTCGTTGGATGGATGTACAAGTTTGAGAGAACTTCCAAGCTCACTCGGCAATTTAGCCTCATTGATAGAGTTACGGTTATCAGGTACGGAACATTACCAAACTTGCAAACTCTATTGGAAAGTTAAAATCCAAATATATGTAGTCTGAAACTTGAGAATTTTTCTTCTCGCAGACACGAATATAAGGGAACTTAACTTCATTGGAAAGTTAAAATCATCACAAATCTTGTTGTGTCAGAATGTTGGTTGGAAGGATCATGACTGGCAATATCCTAGTAACATCAGCACATTGGTAAATATTGAAAAGCTGTATCTCACTAGGTGTAGTGAGATAAGTGAAATTCCTATTGGAATTGGAGAATTGTCATCTTTAAGAACCCTAGAATTAAATGAGACCTCTATTTGTGGAATTCCAAGGACAATCAACAAGCTTCGTCATCTCCAAGAACTCTATTTACGGGAATGTCATGACATTCATGAGTTGCCGGAGCTTCCCACAAGTTTGACCTCTCTATATCTTCATTCTATATCATTGATCTCAATCCCCAATTTGTCGAACCTTACTAATTTGGTTGAACTATACCTTAGTGATGGCTCTTGTATTACAGGAAAATCAAACCTAATCATAGGATGCAACTTAAGGGGGATTGAGAGGTTATCAAGACTGAAAAGGTTAGAGTTACATCTGCTAAATGTACCTGCACCTCCAAAGTTGGCTTCTCTTTCTCATCTGGAAAAGCTTACTTTGTCTGCCTTAGACCTAAAATCCCTCATGCAGCGTCCATCCTCCTACTGGATATTGAGAAATTTGTTGGAATTAGACATTTTTTCGTGTGGAATGGAAGACATTCCACTCGATGGACTTCCACTACTGCGGTGTTTTAATGTTCGCAATTGTAAACGGCTTCAGAGATTATTAATTCCTTTGGAATTAATGAAGCTACATCAAGTGGATGTGTCGGGTTGTCCAGAGCTAGTTCAGATACAAGTTATGGGTCTTCTGAAATCATTGGAAATCTTGATAATTGGTTATTGCGAATCTCTGACAAATATAGGTGGATTATTGTACTTGAAGAACCTGGAGACGTTGAAAATAGAATGGTGCAATGTACTTGCAAATGTGGAGGGCCTTAACGAGCTGGAGTCTCTGAAATATTTGGACGTCAAAGAGTGCCCGTCATTGAAAAGGTTGATTGATGCATCTCGTACAAATATACCAGATGATTGTCGCGTCCAAATAGAGGGCTGTGGAGACTTGATCAAGGATTCTTTGTGGATCGACACATGTTCAACGTCTATGAAGCGTTACAAAGATGTAATTCTTCTGGATACATCAAACAAGGTGCAATATCTTCTTCATCAATATACAGTAGATGTGTGTGAATGCACGGGTTTGAAAATTGATTTGTTTTAATCTCAGCATGATGCTATAATTTGGTAAAACTACACAAATTGAAAAAGTCGAATATTATTTTGAAATTTACACATACATTAGTGTTCTTTCCACATGTTCTTTTGAATTTGAAATGTTGTTTTGTATTAATTAAATAAATACACAAGTAAAAGTATAAAAATTGTAGCTTCTAAATTTATTTCTTGCTATATAATTGTGTATTGGATATTATGTAGTATGATATGTGTTTATATTGATGTCATAATGTTTAGTAATGATTGCCCTCTTAAACTTTGGCGCTGTTGCGCAATAACCGCCAAAAATTAAAATTATAGATTAGCCCCCACCTTCGCCCCACCCAAAAAAAACTTTGATTTATGTTGTATTCGTTTGTTTTTTAATGTGCATGGCCTTTAGGTGTTACCTAAAATGGTCTGACTCAATTTCTTGACCGAATTTCTTATTAACCATGCATCATTCCCTATTTTCTTAACTTCATAAACCATGAAGTAGATGTTATTTTGTTCAAAGTGAGTTAATCCATTTTCTGAATCACATTTAACGGCCATACAAATGGAAAAAATAATGGCTGCAACAAAAATGAAGGTTTGGGGAGTATATTATAACTTTTCAAAGTTTGCATACTACTGTGCAGCGGTGTCAAAGTTTAGTAGGGTAATATGATATTTTCAAAGTGTGGAACTATTTTGCAAGAGAGCTATAGTTCAAGGGGTTTTTGAGCAATTACCCCTAATATTTAATATAGGGAGGAGTTAATATTTCAGATATTAAATAAATAAGGACTTTGTTTGATTCGGAACTTCCATCAAACATGTTTACCCATTACTTTCAATAATAGATGTCCTAGTATCTTCTTTCTGTTGAGCATTCCAAAGTCTTCAAAGAGCCAGATGTAGTTACACAAATACTTTTTAAAAGAAAAATTCTTAATGAATAAACATGAGCGGAATATGAATATCTATCCTTTTGCTAGTAAATGAAGGAAGAAAATTTAAAATAAAGCCTTATATATTAGGGGAAGCTTTGCTTCCTTTCTTAAGCTACACAATGTCTTTTTTTTGGGTAAGGAAAGCTACACAATGTCCGCCCTCTTAAAGTTGAATAAAATAATTTCTTATGTAGCTGATTTTTTTTCCTTACATTAATCCCTTCTCTCTACTTCTTCTGTTGGTGTTGGATATTTTCGGCTCCGAAAGCAATCTTTCCACCCTCTTTTGAGGTGCTCATTATCTGTTGTACTTTGAAGTACTTGGGTCGCATATTCTTTTTAATTTTAGTCACTTATCTCTACTTGCCTTTCTGGTGAAGGACAGTTTTGGTTCTTTAATATTGTCAATAAACTCATTTAATCATTCTTTAAATATTATTCATAAAATTTTCTTTCATAGAGAAGATGTTAGATAACAGTTTACAAATTACAGTTTTCAAAAACATCATATGATGTCTTTGTCTACTATTTTTTTTTAATTTTTTCATAGGCATTATTAATACATAAATTTAATATTATACATATAATAATAGTAATTATAGATTGTTTGATTCGATAATTTCATTAGTGAGCTATGGAGAAATAATGTCAAATGATTTGACCATAGCTGGACGAAAGAAAAAAAATGAGCTCATTAGATTAATTTGTCACGTGTCACCACATTGGAAATGAATGGTGAACAAAGGGCAGCTATTTCGTGGTATATATATATATTTGATATTATGATGATGAGCTAACTCCTATGATTATGTTGTTGGCCTCTCAAGTAATGTTTTGCCTGTTTCTTTAATATTTCTGTTAGTGTATGTGTAATTTAATTCAGATATAATTTAACTAATTGCAAATTAAGGGAAAAATTGTCCAAAAAATCATATACCTATTGTACTTTTGCTAATTCACTCTTAAACCTTTCGATTTTACCAATTAAATCCTAAACCTTTTCACGTTTTGCCAATTGAGTCCATCCAGTCAATTTTAGCTCGAAATTGCTGATGTGGACTCTAACCATCTTACATGGTGCGGCTTGCATTGAAGAGGATAATTTTTTTTATTAAATTTTCCTTTTTTCTTTCTTTACTCATGTTTTTTTTCTTCCAAGCACGGTGAGGGTCGCAAGCAGCCCTCACCTGGATTTGGTGAGGGCCATGAAGCCCTTGCCAATCACATGTGAGGTTCGTGACCCTCGCCCAAACCTCGCGAGGGCCACTAGCAAGGGTCTCGGCCCTCACTAGATTTGGGCATGGGCCGGGACTCTTGCCTGTGATCGGCGAGGGCCGGGACTCTTGCTTGTGATTGGCGAGGGCTTCGTGGCCCTCGTCCAATGGTCGACGAGGTCAACCAACGACCCTCCTTGGACTTGGTAGAAAAAAAAAAGGAAAACAAAGAAAGAAAAAGAAAAAAAGATAAGAAAAGAATAAAAAATTATAAGAAATTCAAAATTTTTAAAAAAACTATAAAAAAAAAAGCATCCACTTCAGCTCCAGTTGTCCTACGTGGTACTATTAGCATTCACACGAGCAATTTCCGATTAAAATTAACCGGATGGACTCAATTGGCAAAAAGTAAAAATATTTAGGGTTTAATTGACCCAATTGAAAGGTTTATGATTTTTTGGACAATTTTCCCCAAATTAAGCAATAATTATGTTCTACTGAAACATTTACTTCTTGTTTTGCCGGCGGATGCATGTATAGTGGGCTTGACAATTTTGTATTTTGGGCCACCAATGGGCTTGACTAGTTGACTAAAGCATATTGCCACCACCTGGATTCAAGCCTTTTAATAGTACTTTTTTTTCTATCTGTCCTATTATAACTCTCAACTCACTCTCAGACTTTTACCCTGCCTTCTTCTAGGGCGTGGGATTCGAAACTCATATTTGAAACTAAACGTCTCCACCCCTAACCCCCCGAGAAGGTGGGAGATCGAACTCCCTACCGCCCCCTTCCCAAGTAGGAAGGGTGGCCACTGGAGCAAACCCCAGTGATTTTTTAATAATGCTTGACTATCTATAAATAAATTAAAGCAAATATTGCTTGAACATACAGTCATATATTATGTCAGAATGTAACTTTTATGCAAGTGAACATATACTTAAAAGTGCAACTAATGACCTAAAGGCACAATAAATCATTTTGAGGCATATTACTTTAGATTAATAAGGAACACAACAACATACAGAAGTTTCGGAAACTGTTATGTGATATTTGCTCAAAAGTAACACCAAAAAGATCTAATGAAAATAAATCCTGATTTTATTGACCTTTTTGATTGACTACCAATATGTTTATGTCTTGACTTTTCGGGGATTTGTAGATTCAAACATTTTATATCAAGATAATTTTTTATCACTAAATGAGAGTAAAAATTTCTGCTTTATCAATGCATTTATTTCTTGTTTCGAAAGGGTTGCCCATTGAAATGGAATATAGAGAAACAAAATAATGATTTAAAAACTAAAACTATTATTTCCATTTTCCATTAAAAAATTGCAATATGACTAACCCACATGCAATACTCGTGTTCCAAATTTTTGTATAGTAAAATGGACAGGCATAAGAATCCACAACAAATCATGTTTTTCAAGTCACACTTTGCTATCTACAACATCATTTCAAACAAAATTTTTACCATGATTTAGCACTAACATGTAATCGATTCATTTTTCAAATCATAAATAATTATTTGTTCGATCCTTAGATTGTTATTAAAATCTTCTTATCTTATTAGTGAAACTAAATACTTGAAAAAAAAATGCTAGTGGAGGAAGACCTCCTTGGATAAGAGACGGAGCGCTAAAGAGAGAGTCAAAAAAGGACCAAATCATCAAGAGGGGGATATTTATTAACGATTATCTATACTATTAAATAAAGTCCAGAGAACCTGCTACTTTTAAGAGCCCACGATTCTTGTTTCCCATCCTGAAATATACTAAATTAGTTATTTTATAAATATTCAGTCAATGGACAAAGTCGTTAAATGGATTATTGTATTTTGTCTTTCACATATTTCAATTTTAAAATTTGAATGTTTCTATCTTATAAACATCCATATCAAAATAGGTTGACAATGACTCAAAGGGAGATTTCGAAGGCGAGGTGATGGAGACGTCAAGAGAGGAATGGATGGTGAATAATCATGTGTACTCCGATGAGGAATGGGTTGAGTGGCTCGTTTCAGATCCTGATGAAGACCCAGAGTCTGCATATGTGGGTGAAAGCGAAATTGATAGCACCTCCTTCGTTGATGATTTCCAGTCAGAGTCGAGCAATGCCAACAGTTTTGAGGCCACGGGAAATAGGAGGCAAATGAGGGACGCAAGGATTGGGCACTATGGCAGTGTCGATGGAGGGAAACCGGTGTGTATGGGAGATAGGAAGAAGGACAAGGATGAGATTAGGGAAGTTGCCAACCAAAATAATGTTGTCCAGTCGAGTTGCCAAAGGTGCGAAGGAGTTGAACACTTTGAGAGATCCTGCAAAGTTACAACTGAAGTTGAGGATCAAAGAGACCTTTCTTCTGTAAGTACTGAAGATTTACACTATCCTTTAAGAATTACATTAGTAACTGTTAAAAATTCTAAGAAACTAAATTTTTATTTACCCACCCGACTCAACCGGAAATATAACATAGGTTATATATAAATATTTGGTTGAGATCAGCATGGATAACATGTACTGAAAAAAAAATTATTACAGAGGTTTATGAAATGATAGAAGTTTATTAATTAAATCCTATAGAGAAATTTTTAATAGTTTTAGAAGTGGTGATATGTTTATCTACCTTCATAAAAGGTTAACTAGGAGAATATTTGTCGATCATAAAATTAGATAAAGAATACGGCCATATAAAATACATTAATGACAATATGCCTTCAACCAGATTGCTCGTGACTTACTTACAGGTAACGATCAAATTTAATATCAAAAGTTAAGTTGTTGGTAAAGTTTCAAATTAACCCTTATTATGGACATTCCATATTTCAATACAAGCATATATACACAAAAATGAGATTTATTATGTATATACAAAAACAAGATTTATTATTATCTCAAGTGTCAAAGCATCTTTCCAAACACACACAAATGTTCAGAACTTTATAACAATATATTAGCATTATCAAGATGTGGATAGAAGGGGGATTGGAATTGACTAGAGCAATTGATAAGAAGGAACAAGTAAGAAAGAATTAGCGTAACCCTTTCAAGTCAGTTAAGGATAATGAAAAGAAACAAGCTAGAAACAAAGCATCGGCAACTTTTTAGTCATTGGTGCCTACAACTCTAAGGTAAGTACATTACTTACATGGAAGGTATTCTGCATAAAGGAATCATAAACAAAAAGAAATAATACCCAGTGATTCTAGCCTAGCTTTAACGAACTAAAAACAAATACATTACTTCACTAAATCTAGCATTTATGTACCAAACACAATCTTTGACATCGATTGTACAATTTATACTGTAATGATTATAAAATAAATTGCAAAAGACATCTCATGTGTCGGGTACTTTATGAAATTTTACTTCTTGTACCACTTTGACTATAATTGTTCGTTGTTTAGCATGATAAAGAATAGACATTGCAAGATACAAAGTAATCTTAGGAGCGGCACTTGTCAGGATGCGGATAAAGCCTTACTTGAAGTACATAGACATGGTAGTTTATGCGTATCATTAGAACTTAGTCAAGCTAAATGTTAGCACTATAATATTCGAAAAGGAATTTGAAAAAAAAAGTCCACAAGCAATCTAATTTAGTTTTGATTTAATGGTTAGTAAGAAAGTGAGTAGTTACAGTCTTCAAATCAAGAGCTAAAAAATCGATATTGGCAAGTTTTATCTACACGGGTGTTCTAATTTCTTTTTTCCCCCTTAAAAAATGAATTTGTGATGAGTTAATACTCCTAGGTAGCTAATTATCTAACTTATTGATTGGTATTCCACCGTACATTCTGGTATTTATTCCCAAATCTGTCTCTAACTAATGAATGATGTCTATGGTAAATATGCAAAAAGGTTTATCTACCATTAATGATGTCCTTCAAGTCGCACTTTGCTTTCTACAACATCATTTCAGACAAATTTTTACAATGATAGCACTAACATGTAATTGATTCATTTTTCAAATCATGAATAATCATTTGTTCGGTCTTTTAGATTGTTTCTAAAATCTTCTTATCTTATTATTGAAACTAAATACTTGAAAAAAAAATGCTAGTGGACGAAGACCTCCTTGGATAAGAGACAGAGCCCCAAAGGGGGAGCCAAAAATGTACCAAATCATCAATAGGGGAGATTTATTGATGATTATCTATTCTATTACATAAAGTTCAGAGAATCTCCTACTGAAATAAACTCAATTAGTTATTTTATATATATTCAGTCAATAGACAGAGTCGTTAGATGTATTATTGTATTTTTTTCTTTCACATATTTCAATATTAAAATTTGAATGTTTCTATCTTATAAACATCCTTATCAAAATAGGTTGACAATGAGTCAGACGGGGAATACGAAGGCGAGGTGATGGAGATGTCAAGAGAGGAATGGATGACGAATTATTGTCTGTACTCAGATGAGGAATGGGCTAAGTTGCGCGTTTCAGATCCTGATGAAGACTTAGAGTCAGCATATGTGGGTGAAAGCGAAGTTGATGGCACCTGCTTCGTTGATGATTTCCAGTCAGAGTCGAGCAATGCTGACAGTTTTGAGGCCACAGGAAATAGGAGGCAAATGAGGGACACAAGGATGGGGCACTATGGCAGTGTCGATGGAGGGAAACCGGCGTGTATGGGAGATAGGAAGAAGGACAATGATGAGATTAGGGAAGTGGCCAACCAAAATAATGTTGTCCAGTCGAGTTGCCAAAGGTGCGAAGGAGTTGAACACTTTGAGAGATCCTGCAAAGTTACAACTGAAGTTGAGGATCAAAGAGACCTTTCTTCTGTAAGTACTGAAGATTTGCACTATCCTTTAAGAATTACATTAGAAACTGTTAAAAATTCTAAGAAACTAAATTTTTATTTACCCACCCAACTCAACCGGAAATATAACATAGGTTATATATAAATATTTGGTTGAGATCAGCATAGATAACATGTACAGAGAAAAAAGTTATTACAGAGATTTATGAAATGATAGGAGTTAATCAATTAAATATAATACAGAAATCTTTAATATTCTTAGAAGTGGTGATATGATTACCTACCTTCATGAAAAGTTTGCTAGGAGAATAATTGTCAATCATAAAATTAGATAAAGAATACGGCTATGTAAAATACATTTCTTACTATATGTCTTCAACCAGATGCTCGTGACTTTCTTAAATGTAATGATCAAATTTAATATCAAAATTTAAGTTGATAATTAGTTTCAAATTCCTTATAATGAAATTCCATAACAAGATTTATTATTATCTTTAGGGTCAAAGCATCTTTGCAAGGACACACAAATGTTCAGAACAAACTAACAATATATTGCGAATTTTTCTCATCCAAGTATCATCAACATGTGGATAGAAGAGGGATTGGAATTGAATAGAGCAATTGATATAAAAGAACAAGTAAGAAAGAATTAGCATGACCCTTTCAAGTCAGTTAAGGATAATGAAAAGAAACAAGCTAGAAACAAACCGTCATCAACTTTTTAGTCATTGGTGCCTACAACTGTAAGCGGATATGATGAAGGGTGCAACAAAAATTTTAAAAAAAAAAGGGCTTTCTTTTCGTGCTTTTATATGTGGTTAGTAGATTAGTGCATAACTTACATGTAAGGCAATCTGCAAGTAGGAATTATAAACAAAACGAAATAATACCCACTGACTCTAGCCTAGCATTAACGAACTAAAAATAAATACGTCAGAGCATTCAGTACCAAATGATTGCGTCGTCATATATGGATGTGTGTAGACTCTATAAAAAATTCTACCACACTAGGAATGTCCTTGGAGCGTTACAGAAAGGAGATTCTTATGAATACATCAAACAAAGTGTGACATCTTCTTCATCAATCTGTGGGGCTTTTCTTTAATTCCTTTTTAGGCCAAATATCCTCCTTTCTTTAGCAACACAATATCCGCCCTTTTAAAGTTGCCTTTTTTCGTTGCACCGTAATTTCTTAGGTGTCTATTTCCTTCGTTTTCTGGAGTTGAATATTTGCGGTTCCTAAAGCAATCTTTCCTCCCTCTTTTGAGGTTCCCATTTTGTGTTGTACTCTAATTACTTAGGTTGCATTTTTTTTTTTTTTTATCTTTAGTCACTTATCTCTACTTGCCATTTTGGTGTTGGATAGTTTTGCTTCTTTAATATTGCCAGCAAACTCATTTAATCATTCTTTCAATATTAATCATCAAAATTGCTTTCATAGACAAGAAATTAGATAATAGATCACCAATTATAGATTTCAAAAGCGTCATATGATGTTTTTTGTCTACTAATTTTTTTAATTATTTTGCAATTGGCGTAATTAATGCACAAACTTAAAATTTTTTATATAATAATAGCCCTTATCAATTATTTGTTTCGACAACCACTGGGGATGGCCATTGCCCTTCTCACTTGGGAAGGGGGAGGTCTTGGTGGGGCTAGGGTGGGGACGTGTGAGTGAGGGAGCAGGGTTTCACAACCTGCACATAATACACACAATGGCTTGTAAAATAGATATATGATAGGATAGGACCGGACCGGACCAAATTTTTTTTATTTGATTCAATTATTGCATTAATGAGTAGTGGAGAAATTAATGTCAAATGATTAGATCATAGTTGTACAAAAGAACAAATAAAAGAAATCATTAGATTATGTCACGCTTTGCCACATGGGAAAATGAACGATGAACAAGGGGTAGTTGATTCATGGTATATATGTTTGATATTTTAATGATCCATCTCCTACAAATTTGTTGTTGGCATCTTAAGTAAAGATACTTTAGACTGTTTGTTTTGCATTTTCCTTTGATAATTCTGTTAGAATGCTTGCGCAATGTAACCTACCCTACGAATAGGAATCATAAACAAAAGGAAATAATACGCGCAAAATCTAGCATTTATGTGCCAGACACAATCTTTTGACGTCAATGTACAACTTATTGAGTTACAAAAATAACTTTTGTACAATTAATTGCAAAAGATTATCTCATGCGCCTGACCATTTATGAAATTTTAATTCAGGTACCACCTTTCGCTATTAGCATGATAAACATTGCCAAATACAAAGTAATCTTTGGAGCAATACTTGTCAAGATGTGGATAAAACCTTATTTGAACTGCATAGACGTGGTAGTTTAGGTGTATCAATAATAATTAGTCAAGCTAAATATTAGCACTATAATATCCATACAATAATTTGTTAAGTAGTCAAAAAAATAATTTTTTATATTAAAAAATTCTATTGACCTCATTTTTGAGTAATTATAGCAGCACAAATAAACGTTCCACAAGCGCATAATTTATCCTTGATTTAATGGTTAGTGAGAAAGTGAGCAATAACAATCCTCAAATCAAAAGTGGAGAAAATTGCCACTGAAATGTTTATTTACACTGGTGTTCTTATATTGTTTTTCTTTTTTTACCTTATAAAAGGAATCTGTGATGAGATATTACTCCTACGTAGACAATTATCTAACTTATTTGATGTTCAATTTAAATTTACATGACATATTTATAAAAAGTTCAAACTTAGGTAATAGAAGAAAAATCGAATAAGTATTACTAATATTCTACTAAAAATCTAAGTATTTAACCCTAGATGTCTCTATCTAATGAATGACGTCCACAACGTACGGGATTTCGGGTGAATATGTAGAAGTTTACTATAAATCCAATACATATATTGTTTCCTCTCACATTGAACTTGTTACATCACAGATAAAACATCCCTTCACAATAATATTCGTCCTTGGAGTAAAGAAGAACAGTGAGGGGTATGGGTTTGTTGGTGGAATAGAGAGGGAAAACAAAAATGTGACCCCAGGTTCAGTGACATATGAAGGATTGATTGCTGACGTCGAAGGTTTCAACTTTCGTTTGGAGAGAATGTGGTATAAGGCTCCTGGTCAAGACGGCGTGTTGCTTATAGAGATCAAGAGTGATGAGCAAGTGAACGGAATGGTGCCACTAGCATCTAAAAGAGGATTCGTTCATTTGTACGTCGAGGGAGCGTTTGATAGTGAGCCGAGCAATGCTGAATGTTCCGAGGCCACGGCAAATAGGAGGCAAACGAGGGACGAAAGAACTGGGCATGATGGCATTGTCAATGGAGGGAAAATGGCGAGTATGGAAAATAGGAACAAGGACAAGGATATGATTGGGGAACCTGCCAACAAAAATGACATTCTCCGGTCAAGATGCCAAAGGGGCAATGGAGTCGAACATTATGAGAGATCCTGCAAAGCTACAACTCAAGTTGAAGATCAAAGAGGCCTTTATTCTGTAAGTACCTCTATTATGACTGATGCGGAAACAATTACGAAATTAAAACTGAGAAGAATAAAGAACACTAAAATTTACGTGGAAAACCATTGAGGGAAAAATCACAGGAAAAGGAGAAGCAAAATCCACTATAAAATATTGATGATTACAAAAGGTGACTAAAAAACTAAAAGACTCTTTCTATCTTAACTTCTTGACCTAATAACTTGAGAAAAATAATATTTATATTGCCCCCAAGCCCTAATGTTGGCCTAAGCCCATAAAAAATTTAAGACATACTCAACACGAGATGGGATTCTTGGATTATGCAATGTGTCTCCACCGCCTCTCTTAGCGTCAAGTTTAATGGAGAACCCCTCTCTTTCTTTAAGCCCTCGAGAGGTCTTCGCCAGGGGGACCCATTGTCCCCATGCTTATTCATCATTGTGGCAAATGTACTATCCTTTCTCATGAAAAAAGCAGTAGATGACGAGAGCTTCAAAGGAATCAAACTAAACAGGAACTACCCTAGCCTATCCCATTTATTGTTCGCAGATGACTCAATCTTCTTCTTGGATGGAAAGGTCAGGGACTGTCAAAACCTAGCATCTATCCTTCATCAATATTGCTTTGCATCGGGTCAGGAAATCAACCTCAACAAATCGGGTATCTTCTTTAGTGCGGGGTGTCCACTTCAACTGAGAAGGAACATGGCTCAAGAGATGCGTGTTCCGGAGATCGACAAAACTAGAAAGTATTTGGGCATCCCCTCAGATTGGGGCCAAACAAAAAAACAAATGTTCGCATGGATACTGGCAAGAGTAAACATGAAGTTGGAAGGCTGGAAAGAGAATTTTATCTCTAAAGCTGGCAAAGAAATATTAATCAAAGTGGTGGTACAAGCTTTGCCATAATATGCGATGTCTATATTTAAAATTTAAGTATCTATTTGCAAAGCCATAGAAAGGAAGATAGCTTCGTTCCGGTGGAAAACACATGCCTCCAAAGCTGGCCTTCATTGGAAAAAAATAGGAAATGCTGAAGAAAAGGAAAGACAAAGGTGGTTTGGACTTTAGAGATCTTCTTACTTTCAATAGGGCAATGTTGGGAAAACAAGCCTGGAGAGTCGCGGAAGCTCCAAACGCTTTATGGTATAAAGTACTCAAAGGAAGGTATTTCCCAAACTGTGACTTCTGGCATGCTGCTAAGGGTTCTCGCCCTTCATAGGGTTGGCAAAGTCTACTAATGGGTAGAGAAGTGATTTCAAAGGAGGTGAGATGGAAAGTGGGTAATGGCTAGCAAATCAGAATCAGAGAGGATAGATGGTTGGAAAGGGGTGTACTAGGAGGGCCATATAACCGACAAGATCCCAATATGGTTGCTGAATTGATTGACTAAACATAAAAATAATGGAAGGGACAACTATTGGGGAATCTTTTTGATGAGCAAGTCATTAATGAAATTCTAGCAACTATACTGCCAATCATCTCGACAGAGGATAAGCTAGTTTGGTCAGCAAATAAGTCTGGGTGCTACTCGGTTAAAAGTGGTTATAATCAACTTCGAAAGATTGAAACCATACAAGACAACGGGCAGGCTTCAACCTCTTACCAAACACCTAATTCTTCGTGGAGCAAGATCTGGAAGCTAAAAACACTCCCCAAAGTCAGATTATTCATGTGGAGTATCGGCCAAAATGATCTACTAACCAGGATTAATTTGTATAAAAGGAAGCTTTTACCTGAGCCTTATTGCCCCATGTGCTGCAAGGAACCCGAAATGGTGGAACATCTATTTCTCCTATGTGATAGGACAAAGCAGGTTTGGTCTAGTCCAGAATTAAATTTTTAGTTCTCTCACCAACAAGTGACCAGAATTGAGAAGTGGTTGCTGAACTATGAAGATCTGACCCAAAAGAACCTACCATTTGAGATCATCGTAGCCACTCTCTGGAACATTTGGTTAGCGCGTAATTCCTTCGTCTTCCAAAACCATATTCCTAGTCCCAAAAGTATAGTAGACTCAGCTTTTGTCATGCACTACAACTATGCGAAGTGGAACGAGAGTAACAAGGCAAGAGAGCATGCATTGGAGGATTTACCTTCGAGGTGGAGACCACCACAGCTAGGGACACTGAAGATTAACATCAATGGATTACAGCTCCCAAGGTCTACAGAAGGGGCTTTTGCTCTTGTGTACCGCGATTATGAAGGGAGATTGTTTGAAGGAGCTGCGCAAACAATCTGAGTGTCCTCCGCCTTTCACTCTAAAACCCATGTTTGTCTCCACACTCTTCGACACTTTGCTGGCTGATCTGGACAGAAATTTGTGCTGGAAATTGATAGCTCCACCTTGATAAGATTCCTACATGATTCCTCTCTCTGCTCGTGGGACATTGAGCCCCTTATCACAAAATGCTTAGGCTTCATGGCCCTTTTTGAGAGTCTTGAGTTAGCCTACTGCTCTCGAGATTCAAATAGATTAGCAAATTTGGTTGTAAAGGCCTCAAGATTTAAGGCCCTTCCACGTTATTGGGTTTCTTACCCACCACCACCTCTATGAGAGATCCTGTATTTTGATGCCCCTTACTCTAGAGGGTTAGTTGTTAAATGAAATAATAAGTTTATGTTATATCCAAAAAAAATTAACTGCACAACTTCCAATAGTAAAGATGTACCCAGTCAAAGACCTCATCTTATCAAGGTCACCGGCATAATCGGAATCAACATATCCTGTAAGAGTATCGCCAATTTTCCCAAACTCTAAACCAAAATGAGAAGTTCCCTTAAAATATCTCAAAATCCACTTCATAGCTTGCCAATGAGCTTTTCCTAGACATGATAAATATCTACTTACCACGCTAACAGCCTGTGAAATATCAAATCGAGTACAAACCATGGCATCATAAGGCTGCAAACTGCGCTAAAGTATGGAACACGTGACATATATTTTATATCATCATTTGTTTATGGACATAAACTAGCTGATAATTTAAAATTAGTAGCAAGAAGAGTACTTACTGATTTGGCATCTTTCATGCCAAAACGATCTAAAACCTTCTCAATGTAGCTTTTCTGGGAAAGATACAATTTTTTTCTTTTTTTGATCTCGCCAAATTTCCATGCCAAGGATTTTCTTCTTTGCACCTAAATCCTTCATATCAAATTCAGCATTTAACTGTGCCTTCAAATTTTGTATATCAGATTTATCTTTTGCTGCAATCAACATGTCATTGACATATAATAACAAATAATGAAAGAGCCACTTGGAAGTTTGCATATATATACGCAACTATCAAATTTGCTTCTACAATAGCCAAGTTGCACCATAAACGAATCAAATATTTTATACCACTGTCTTGGTGATTGCTTCAAGCAATAAATAGACTTTTTCAATAGACAAACATGGACTTCGATTGAAAATCTCTAGTTGACCCATATATAGGTTTTATCTTCAAGTTCACCATGCAAGAAAGCTGTTTTCACATCGAATTATTCCAACTCTAAATCATGCATAGCAACTAATGCAAGAAAAACTTGAATGGAGCTGTGTTTAACGACAGGTGAAAACACATCATTAAAATCAACTCCCTCAATCTGACTATATAGCCTTTAGCAACTAGACAAGTTTTGAACCTGATGTCTTCAACTCCATGAATACCTTCCTTTCTTTTGAAAACCCACTTGCAGCACACAATTTTCTTTCCTTTTGGTGGTTTGACAAGCTCCCACGTTTGATTCATTTCAAGAGATTGCATCTCTTCATTCATAGCAACCAACCACTTTACTGAATCTTTTGAAGATATAGCTTCCTTGTAGGTTTTAGGCTTATTATATTCAACTGACTTTGCAACTGAAAGAGCATAAGCAACAAAATCTGAAAAATCCATATTTCTCTGGTGGCTTTGTTATCCTTCTTAGTCTATCTCTAGCAATAGAATATTGTTCTTTCTCAAGTTTTTCAATCTCAATATTATCAGTAGATGACTAAACTGATTGCGAAGAAATTACTTTAAACTCCACATTCTCCGCAACACTTTCTAGATTTTCATGACAAAGAACAGATGACTCCTTGCTAGGATGAAGCATAATAGATTCATCAAAAGTAACATCTCTGCTAATGATAATCTTAGATGAATTAGCACACCAAAGTCTATAACCTTTTATACCAAAAGCATAACCATGAAAGATGCATTTTTTTTGCTCTAGGCTCTACTATTTCTTCACTAACATGTGCATATGCTGAACATCCAAATACTCGAAGAGAAGAATAATTAGCAGGTTTTCCTGACCATACCTTCTCAGGTGTCTTGCATTCAATAGATGTGCAAGGAGAACAATTTATCAACCAAGCAGCTATATTAACTGCTTCAGCCCAAAACTCTTTGCTTAAACCAACGTTAGACAACATACACCTAGTCCTTTCTAATAAGGTTCTGTTCATTGCAGAACATTGCTTTGGTGTATTCATTAGAGTATGATGTCTCACAATGCCTTCGTTTTTGCAGAATTCATTAAACTCACCTCTACAAAATTCTAGCCCATTATATGTCCTTAATCTCTTGATCTTCTTATTAGTCTACTTCTTAATCAATGTTTTCCATTGCTTAAATGTAACAAAAACATCACTTTTTTGCTATAGAAAATATACCCAAACTTTCATTGGAAAATCATCAATGAAAGTAAGTAAATACGTCAAACCAAGACCTTTCGAAGGAACTTTTGTAGGCCCCCAAAGATCAGAGCAAATATAATCCAAATTGCCCTTTGTTGTGTGAATTCATGTCTTGAAACTAACCCTTTTTTGTTTTCCAAAGACACAATGCTCACAGAGATCCAATTTTTTGACCACACAAAAGACCTCTCTTACTCAGCTCCTCCATCCTTTTAATACTCATATGGCCTAATCTCATATGTCATAATTTAGTGTTGTCCGATTCTAACATAGAGGATGAAACTGCAGCTGAACCAGTAATTGTATTACCTTGCAGTTGATACAAAGTTCCAATTGTTAGACCTTTCATCAACAGAAGTGAACCTTTCATAATTTTCATAACTCCACATTCAGCTGTGAACTTATAACCATTAGCATCAAGTGTACTCAAAGAGGTAAGGATTTTCTTCAAATCAGGAACATGTCTGACATTTTCTAAGGTTCTGATCATGCCGTCGTGCATCTTAATACTGATAGTCCCAATCCTCACTGCTTTGCATTTAGCGTTATTTCCCATTAAAATAACTCCACCATCATATTCCTTGTACGTGGAGAACCAATCACGATTAGGACACATGTGATACGAGCAGCTTGAATTAAGAATCCAGCTATCACTGAATTTATCTTTATCATCTGCAACCAATAACCAATCTTCATTTTCTTCTTCGGCAACACCAACTTGAGCAAGATTTTTGTTTCTCTAATTCTGTCTATTCTGGTAGTTCTGATTGTTCTGTCGATTTGCATTCCTTTGATTTTGCTTATTCAAATTATTTTCTCTTTGATGCTTTACCTTTAGTTTCAGACAATTTATCTTGATATGCCCCTTAGACTTACAATAGTTGCAAATCAGATCCCTATGCTTCAATTTTGATCTGCTCCTACTACTATTGCTTCTCTCAATATATCTTCCTCTAGCAACTAAACCAACCCCATGATCATTACTGCCTTCAAAAATCAATTCTGTATCTAATTTTTGTTTATTTAGAAGACTAGTCTTGACATCTTCAAAATCAATAGTTTCTCTACTAACAATCATGATTTCTCTAAAATTCTGATAAGAGGGAGGTAGTGAAACTAGTAGTAAAAGAGTTTGATTGTCATTTTCAATATTAACATCAATACTTCTTAATTCAGAGATAATAGCATTGAAATTAGAAATATGAGACTTAAGAGAAGCACCTTCTACCATACGAAGAGTGAAGAGTCGTTGCTTGAGCCTCAACTGATTGGCGATGGACTTTGTCAAAAAAATACTCTCCAATTTCGTCCATAAACCTGAAGCTATTTTCTGATCTAGTACCTCCTGCATAACTTCATTCGTGAGATACAACAGAATAGCATATAGAGCTTTTTCATCCAATTCTTCCCAAGTTTCATCCAGCATGCTAATTGGTTTCTTTCCTTTCCCAAACAAAGTTTTCTTTAAACCCTGCTACGTAAGAACAACCAACATACAAACCTGCCATAGGTTGAAACTGCCTCTCTCATCAAACTTTTCAATATCAAATTTCATTGTTGAACTTGAAGCCATAACCAGACGATCGAAAAAACCCTAAGGCTCTGATACCAGATTGTTATAACTGATGCATAAACACTAATGAAATTAAAATTAAGAGGAATAAAGAACACCAAAATTTACGTAGAAAACCCTTGAAGGAAAAACTACAGGGAGAGGAGAAGCAAAATCCATTAAAGAATATTGAGGAATACAAAAGGTGGCTCAAAAACTAAAAGACTCTTTCTGTCTCAATTTCTTGACCTAATAACTTGAGAAAAATAATATTTATATTGCCCACAAGCCCTAACATTGACCCAAGCCCATAAAGAATTTAAGACATACTCAACAACCTTCCACCTTCTCCAGTGTATTCCAATTTCATTTTAGAAAATTTCCACCAAAAAAATATAATTTTTCACTCAATTGCCCTACAAATAGAGACAAAGATTTTAAAATATTGACGTGGCATAGGATTTCAACGCTTGTACTAGTACTTTAATAAGTACTTCTTTTCCGGCTCTTGACAGTCGCTTTTCCTTCCACCTTCAAGTTTAATGCTAACTATAGCTAGGATCTAGGTGTACATTTTAAGTTTTATTTTTGAAACCCCCCAAACGGAAGGAATGCCTCAAATTCTTTCCAATTTGTGCAATCTGTGGACCTCTCCAAGCATTGGCTATGTTTTCACATACGTTGACATTTAAATGTCTTCCCAAAGGTCATGAAATATTTTTGAAGAATATGGAACTTGTTTTACTTCCATTATTTTTTTACTTATTAAATGTTACATTCTTGCATTCTAGATTATTTAGAGTTAGGCATCTAGCAATGTACAAGAGCATTATTTGTCTTTGTCGTAAGATTTGACAAGATCAATGATGGTAATACCAAGACACCAAGTATAGTTGCCTCATGATGTTCATATAGATGATGACCCCATATCTATACTGTGGTCTCTTCCAATATTTGGTCAACGCCAACTCTAACAAAAGCTAATGAAAATCAATCCTAAATTTTTTATTTACCTTTTGTATGTATTAACATTATATTTTATATCTTTACAGGGATTTGTAGATTCAACCTTTTTATTTTTAGAGTATTTCTTTATCACTAAATCAGAGTAAAATGTTTACTCTGTTAATGCATTTATTTCTTGCTTCCAAAGGATTGTCTATTGAAAATGGAATATAGAGAAATAAAAGAATGATTCAAAAATCAACTAATTGGTGCTATATTATGATGATCCATCTCCTGTACTTTGTACGTAAATTGAACAAGAGTGGAATATGAATACGTATTCTTGTGCTAGTAAAGGAAGGAATGAAATTTAAAAGAAAGTCTTGTACGTTAGAAGATGCTTTGCTTCCTTTTTTGGCCAAATATCCTCCTTTCTTCAGCCATACAATATCTTGCCTTTTTACTCACTCCGTCTCATTCTCCCACTTTACGGACAAAGACTGAAGGTGGGGAAAGGGCCACAGCTTGGAGGACCGGCATTGCATGTTGCAAAAAGGAAAAGGTAAGTGATTAATTGAGACGATTGTGAGCTGATTCTCCTATTTTTTTCTCTTAGGCTGCTGATTTTATTTCCTTACGTTAGCCACTCATCTCTACTTTCTTTTTTGGTGTTGGATGTTTGTGGTTCCCTAAGCAATCTTCTCTCCCTCTTTTGAGGTTCCCATTTTGTGTTGTACATTAATTAATTAGGTTGCATATTTTTTTTTCTTTCTTAGTCACTTATCTGTACTTGCCTTTTTGGTGTTGGATAGTTTTGATTCTTTAATATTGCGAGTAAACTCTTTTAATCTTTCTTTAAATATTAATCATCAAAATTGCTTTCATAGATAAGAAATTAGATAGTAGATCACAAATTTTATATATATATATATATATATATATATATATATATATATATTTGGTCTGTTCAAATTATATATTTCAAAAACATCATTTGATTTCTTCATCTACTAATTTTTTCTTATTTTGCAATAGGCATAATTAATGCAGAAACTTAATATTTTAAATAATAATAGTATTTGTGGGTAATTTGATTTGATTATTACATTAATGAGCCATGAAGGAATTAATGTTAAATGATTTGATCATAGCTCTATAAAAGAAACAATAAGAACTCATTAGATTATGCCACGTGTCACCACATGGGAAAATGAATGATGAACGAGGGGCAATTGATTCATGGTATACATGTTTGATATTATGATGATCCATCTCCTATGAATTTTTGTTAGCCTCTTGAGTAAAAATAATTAGGATGTTTATTTTGCCTCTTTCTTTAAAAATTTGTTATAATATCTATGCAATTTAATTCAAAGCTAATCTATCCGCTTGTAGATTAAGCAATAACTTAGTGTCACATTTATTTGCTTCTTTCCCGGTGCATGCATATATAGTGGACCTAACTAGGAGATAAGGACACCAGAAGTTCCATAACTTACGCACGGCACTCACTTGAATGCCATAATTTTTTTCCGATCATTTAAATGCCATAACTTCTGAAAAATTGTCCACTTAAGTGCCATACTTTCAATCAATCACTTAAGTGTCAAAAAATTTAAAAAAAATGTTCACCTAAGTGCCTGAAATCCGACGTGGCATAGCACTTGTGGTGAAGGTTTTAAAAAATTATGACACTCAAGTAATCAATTGAAAAATTATATTGCATTCAAGTGTTTTTTAAAAATCTCAAGTGAACGTCGTACATAAATTATGGCTCTCAAATGATCGAAAAAAAAATTTATAACACTTAAGTGAGTACGAAACTTATGGCACTTGTGGTGTCATTGTCCTGCTTGACTAGCTTTGTATTTTTGGCCACCTAAGGCTTGAGTAGTTGACACTGCATTTTTAGTACCATTGCAAATTGCTAATACGCAGGATTGATGTCTTTTTTACAGCACGTGATTATTTCAAAGTAAAATGAAGCACATATTGTTTGAACAAACAGTCATATATTATGTTAGGATGTAACTATTATACGAGCAAACATATTATTTCACTAAAAAATGCAACTTATGGACGAAAAGAGACACTAATTGATTCTGAGGCATATTTAGATTAAGAAAGAATACAACAACATACAGACTTTCATAGACTGATTTAAAATGTGACCCATGGTTATGGATCTTTCACACGAAAAGAAGAAAATAAAACTCCTTTTAAGTTCCAAAATTCAAAACAATTGAATTTATTACAGTATTATAATTGAAATAAATAGCTAACATTAAAAGATAGTAGTACATGAAGTACATAAAATACATAAAATTATCCAAAAAGAGTAGATTATTGTAATTAAAGTGAATATAAGATGAAGGATTAAGTTCACTGAAATAATGACATTAAAGTTAGAAACAGAAACGGTGCTTGTTATGGAAGTGGAATAGCAAGACTATTACTTTTTTTATTTTTACTTTTTTGCTTTACTTGGCATGGCATGGAGTAATTAGTGCAAATGATGATAAATTTTAAGGAAATAAAATTAGTTAATTAATCTGAAAAAGTATACCATCAAGGCTATGTGGAGCAAAGCATAAGGTGTTGAATCATGTCGATTCTCCTCTGATTCAAATCTGCTCTTCTTTCCCAAACTCAGGATGGGGCTGAGTTCGACATTTCAGGTTCCAATGAAGTGCGAGACTCTGCGTCTATGGGTGAAAGCGAAACTGATGGCACCTCCTCCATTGATGATTTCCATTCAGAGCCAGGCAATATTGAATGTTTTGAGGCCACGGGAAATAGGAGGCAAATGAGAGACGAAAGGATTGGGCGCTATGACAGTGTCGATGGGGGGAAAACGGTGAGTATGGAAAATAGGAAGAAGGACAAGGATGAGATTGGGGAACCTGCCAACCCAAGTGATGTTGTCGGGTCAAGTGGCCAAACATGCAAAGGAGTTGAACACTATGAGAGATCCTGCAAAGCTACAACTGAAGTTGAGGATCAAAGAGACTTCTCTTCTGTAAGTACTGAAAGTTTGCATTATTATCTTAATCGTGCAGTCCTTGAAACTTACGCTGAATTTCAACGGGGTCCAGGTGAAGAGGGATAAGACTGTGGAGACTGATCAAGTACTTGCAAAAACAGGCAGAGGAAGTGCGACAGGATGTGCTTCAAAACCAGGAAGGGACCCTACAGAAAGAGGCAGAGGAAAGGATATAGCTAAAAGTTCAAGAAACGGCAAAGGTTTGAGGTTGGGTAGAGATGTAACTTCTACTTTAGGGAAGGGCACGACATCAAACTCAGGGAGGGATATAGCTTCAGGTTCACGAAGCAGTGCCACTTCAAGTTCAAGAAGGGCCAGAGGTTCAACTTCTGGAAAGGGCACAACTTTGAGTTCAGGAAGGGGCATGACCTTGAGTTTAGGAACGGGTGGGGGTTCAAGTTCAAGAATGGACACAACTAAAATGGGCATAGCTTCAAGTTTAGGAAGGGGCACAACTTCGAGTTCACGAAGCAGCAGGACTTTGAGCACTGAAAGGGGCAGAGATTCAACTTCAGGAAAGGGCACAACTGTGAGTTCAGGAAGGGGCATGACCTTGAGTTTAGGAACGGGTAGGGGTTCAAGTTCAAGAATGGACACAACTAAAATGGGCATAGCTTCAAGTTTAGGAGGGGGCATAACTTCAAGTTCACAAAGCAGCGGGACTTTGAGCACCGAAAGGGGCAGAGATTCAACTTCAGGACAGGGCACAACTGTGAGTTCAGGAAGGGGCATGACTTTGAGTTTAGGAACGGGTAGGGGTTCAGGTTCAAGAATGGACACAACTAAAATGGGCACAGCTTCAAGTCCAGGAAGGGGCATAACTTCAAGTTCACGAATCAGAGTGACTTTGAGTATGGGAAGGGGCAGAGGTTCAACTTCAGGAAAGGGCACGACTGTGAGTTCAGGAAGCGGCGAGACTCTGAGTTTAGGAACAGGTAGGGGTTCAAGCTCAATAATGGACACAAATAAGATGCGCACAGCTTCAAGTCCAGGAAGGGGCATAATTTCAAGTTCACGAAGTAGCGTGACTTCGAGTACAAGAAGGGGCAGAGGTTCAACTTCAGGAAAGGGCACAACTATTAGTTCAGAAAGGGGCACAACTTTGAGTTTAGGAAGGGGCACGACTAAATTGGGCACAAGTTTAAGATTAGGCACGTACAAAAGTTCAAGTTCGGCCAAGGCTGAGCCTCAAACATCAAGGTCACGGGAAGAACAATAAGGCAAGCATGAACAAGCACAGAAGCAAGCGGAAGATCTAAGGTAATATAACATATTTAGTAGGTATGCACTTTCTTCATTCTTTTTGTGTGCTTACCCACAGATAATGCATGGTTACAAACTCTACTTTTTCGGGGAGACTCGAGACCGACATGTCACGGTAGAACTCCACTTTTCTTAAGGAGACCCAAAACCAACAAGTTGTTACAGGATGCTGATCATCTGTCTCCTTCCATAAGTCAATCCGCTGTCTCCATTCTGTTATAGGTGTTTCCGGTTCTTCTTTTCTGACTTCTTCCTCAGTTTTATTTCCATTCTGTTAAGTAGAAGCTTTACTCCACTCTTCTTTCTATGTCATTTATACTTCCTTGTTTTACTCTATGCAGAATTTCAGATTTACTTTCTTTTTGTTATTTCTACATATCATTCTTCTTGGCAAACCTCTCTTTCTCTTGGAGTGTATATTTCTGCAGACTATTTTCTTTGGTTTTCATTTTCTTCCGAAAGGAAATCTTCTTCTAATAAGGTTATTTGGAAATGTGAAAACATGAGCGAGGTTGGCCTTGGGGTTACCCTCTATTTGCTAGGATGAATCCTATAAGTAGGGCGTATTACTTGTCCATCTATTTCTCCGATTCAATCGCAAACAATTCCCTCAAGCTCTTTGTCCGGATAAGTGAGTGTGATGATCTAGAAAGTACTTTATATGAAATTCTTGTCGGAATTCTTTCTTTATTTAATTCTCCAATGTTAAATTCATCGATCTACTTTTGTTAAATTTAATTTCTATCTCTCTATTTTTATATTTACTAGAAAAGATACCACAAAAAACTTTAAAACATGTCTGATGTAGTATCAATGCTCTCAAACGTTTCTTGTGCACCACAAACTCCAAACTTACACCTGCATTAAACATCTATCTTCTATCACGGTTCTTGTCAAAGACCGCCCAAGAAAATCCTACGGCTTAACAACGGAATGCAAACAGAGCTAATGTGACGCCTTCATGGCTTAAATGAAAAACAAGGACAGTCGTTATGGTGGCTGACGTGGACTACAATGGCACCAGTTTGCTCTCTCTCAGTTGCTGAAGTCGATGTGGGGCAAAATTATACGGTTCTTGGTTCGTGTTTGCTCACTCTCTTGGTTCCTTGCCAAATCCGTGGCTGTTTAACCAAGACTTATCCAAGTCGAGCTTCGATATAACTTGGGCGAGTGATTACGAGTTCACATTGTTTCAAATCCGTGGTTGTTTTTACTGTCTGGTATCTTACTGATTCTGAATTTCGCCCCCTTTTCTGGTGTTTTTCTTGCTCTTTGGTTATGTCATTACCAGAGTTTGCGCATTTTTGCCTCTTCAAGAATCCTGTGGAGAGTTTTTGCTTCATGGCCAGTATTTTAACCCTTCAAAATTGCGTTTTCTTTACTCCTACAACTTGTGGTTCTTTATCTTACATGCTCATCGGAAGAGATGGATTATATTTTGCATTTTAAAATTTGGTCAGCTCTTTAATTTTCTTTTATCTTTGGTGCATCTAAATCTTGCCAGTATTCTGTAATTTGATCAGCATTATATACCAATAGTATTTGATAATTCAGTGCAAATGTAGTAGTTGAAGTTACCGCTATCAACCTTGGGACTGAGACACTGCTGGTATGAACCTGGTTCTCTCATCGCTGTTTAGAGCTCTGGCAGGCCACTGTACTTGGATTTAATGGGCTGATTCGATTTGTTTGTCGGAATCATTTTGCAAAGGGCATTGTTCTTGTTGCGCTGCATATGCTTTTGAATGCCAGGGCAAGAAGGTTACAATAGATTAATAAGACCCCTGAGCTATAGAGGAGCAGTAGGTCTTTGTCTTGGCTTTCTCTTTAGTTATTCGAGCTAGCTACGAGTATAATTAAAAAGGTTTCACTTCCAAATTATTGTTTCCACAATTTAGTTTCTGAAGATTTTATGTTGGCCAGTGGAAGGAGGTTCTATCGTTGGAGGTGATGGTTTGTCAATAATCTGCAATAGATTTGGGATTGATAAGTTAGTCCATTGTCATGTGTTGTTCATTTGGTGGTTGAGTATAGGACCAGTTCACTGTTATGTGTCGTTCATTGAGAGAGCCATGTATTGTTGAATTTGAATATGTTGTGTTGTGTTTGAAGGCCTCTGTTTCACATAATTTCTAGTGTTTCCAATAAGTCAATCTTTTTTCCTATGCTGAGCATTATTGAAGTTGAAGTTTTTGTCGAGTGAAGTGTGTGCACTACTGGAATGTGAATTGCTTGCTTGTCTTGGACAGATTGATGATTGCGGGTTTTTCAAAAGGATTGATCCTAAGTCCTCGTTACATGACAGAGAAGTGATTTTTGGATTGATCAATGAAAAGAAATCATTGGAAAGTATGGAAGCCAGTTGAAAGTATCCGAGGAGAAAGTCCACATTCTCAAAATGCAGCTAGAAAGGAGTAAGTGACAGAACAACTAGATACAAGTGGAAGTGTCTCGACTAGAAGCAAAGGAAAAGATCTATTTGAAAGGCATAGTTGTATTAGAAGGATTGATGTGCACAAATGCTGATGTTGAAGTTGGACAGAAAAACACAACTTACGTTGCCTTGGATTGGCAACAATGTTGGATTGGTCGTGATGGTTGTCTATCTCTTTTGCTTCTGGGTAGCGTAATTAGGGGTAGATGCTAGGCAAGACCAATGTTATCATGCAAAAAAAAGTGAAACTGTATCCAACTGTGTTTAATTGTTTGCAATGAAAGATGTGTCGTTCTGTGTACTGCATACTTATTTCAGATTTTTTTAGTAATACTATCATGTTATTATATCACACGGTAAAGGATTTAAGTTCTTAAGCTTTTAAAAACTATGGTGGATTTGCTTGGAGATGAAAAAAAAAGGAAACAGAACAACCATGTATCTACAAAACAGAACAATAATCACCAATTATATTCTTCAAATAAGGTCTAAAAACCTTTTTTCTTTCAGAACTTGGATGATTATATTAGAAAAAACCAACTGGACAAGTTGGTATATGGTTCAGAAAACAGTAAAGAAGAGGAAATTACAACCTACTTAAACGATTACAACTAAAAAAATCCAACTGGACATTAGCTACAAAGTTGGTATATGGTTCAGATAACAGAGAAAAAAGAGGAAATTACAACCAACTCTAATGATCACAGCACGGCCATCACAGCCATATGTCATTGTTTCATCAGTCTTTGCAGTGGTTGCCATACCGAACCAAGAAAAAGACTTAAGCATCAGCATAATCCATCTTGGACTCATCAGTAAGAGCATTTCACAAGAACTAGTACTCCCAATTACTTGCAAACAATATCGTCTCGGAACTGTGTAACTTTACACTGTAAAATCTTTGGAAAAGGCTTCACCAGATAACTCTGATTTAGAAAACAAGAAACAAACCATGCTGATAAAGGAAGCATCTGCAGGAATTCTCAGAGTCCAAAAGGATCTGTTTTTTAAAGTTGTGAGTTTTCATCCTGGCCACCCAGTGATTTGCACTGCTTTGGATGACAGTACTGATAAGTTGAAGTCTAGCAACATGGAATAATTTGCTGGCAGTCCAAGCGTTGAACTTATTAGAAAGTTTATCAAGCAAAGGCTTACAATCCACAACTGAAAGCTCCCCCAAAACAAGGGGAACAGCTGAGTTTTTAAGAGGAGGATCGCCTGCCTTCAAATGAGATAAATCCAGTAACTCTTGCTGCAAATCATCAGGGATACCAGCTGCAAATAGAACAGTTTTAGATGGATTGAGTTTAGGTCCAGATAGAGCTCGAAATCTGTCAATAACAGAAAGCACAGCCTCCAAAGATTGCTTGTCGCCATTTAAAAAGAAGAGCAAATCATCAACAAAGGCCAAATGAGTAAGGTGAGTTCTTTTCGCGCAAAGGATAGAATTCAAGTTCACCAGAAACAGCAGCAACATCCAACAATCTAGAAAAAGGACCTCGATCGTCAGAAGCCTACCAGAGGGAATGCGAGAGATCCAACACGAATCTGTGACTATGTAATCAAGCTTTTCTGAGGAAAAGCAAGAGCCCCAAGGTCGGTAATGAGTTTGAACAAATTGAGCTCCAGCAACTGAATCGAGCTTTTCTGAGAGAGAAGGAGAGCAGGAAAGAACTCACTGACATATCCCATATGTTGATTTCTTGTGTGTCATCATAGATGCATCATCAAGACGTTGCAAAAAATTGTGGGGCTTGGTGATGTATGTCTTCAAACTAGCTTGGGCAACAAGCCCATGCTTAAGCATGCGAGGCATATTCCGCACCTTTAATTGAACTCGAGTTCTACCGGAAAATTAGATGATGATGGATTGGAAAGTTGGTCCAAGGATGAAACTTAGAAGCTTGTCGAGGAGTCGCTCATTCTACCAGGGAGGGGGAAAATGTCATGCTCTTTATTGCATATAAGCTGAGGTATGCAAGGACCAAATTCATGCTATGGGAGAAGCAACGTCTGATCTATGGCATATGAGACTCGATCATATGAGCGACAAAGACAAAGGCCTCCAAATTCTTGCAAGGAAGGAAAATTACTACGTTAAGTGGAAAGTTACGAGTGATAGGACCTCAAACAATACGAGAGAATAAGAAAAATTATTATCACTTTCGAGAAAATTACGAATGGAAAAAGAAAGGTAGGATAACTGGAGCACACAAATCACAAGAATTGCAAGTCCATAGGGAAGTTATGTGGAAATAATGATAGTAGTTACTAACGAATCACAATGTATATAAAAGTTGCTTTGAAGAAACAAAATTGCAGCGATTTCAATGATCGTAAAAATTTCATTGTTCATAAGTAATATGCCATTTGGATTCAGATAATTTTTGTTGATAATTAATGAAATCAATCGACTTGTTTATAAATTTATTCAAATGTTTCTTAAGTGATGGTAACCTTACCCCACTTCAATGTTAGGCCTGAGTGCTAATTTTATACTCAGTTACCTTAGCCATATATATGAATGCTGTTAAATTGCTGTTAAATTGCCAGCTCGTCGCAGAAAAGTGGCACCGGTGCCTACCTGCTGATAAATGGAGTACCTGAAGTGACCAAAACAGAGTTATGGATCGGATCATCCAATAGCTTTCAGAGCGAAACAAAACCGTCATTTAGATTATCCGGTTCATTGGCTATTGCTTCTGCTAGGCTTTGCTTATGGAACAAAGGTAAAAATTTTAGCCTATTGAACAAAGGTAAAATTGTCCCACGAAGATATATATTGATAAAATATTTAAATATTGAACCATGCATTCATTTGCGAAATTTGTCCCATAAGCATAGAATATTATCATATATGAAAGTTGTCTAATTGGCATATAAGTACACGTGATCTTTCAGGTGTGCTTGAGCTTTCTTCGTCGGGCTCCCAAAGACACTACAACAGCTCGATTACCCTCCAATTCCTTCGATCGGAAACGAACCATGTCCGCGTGATTCACATTACTCTTCCCCGTGCAGCGACTGAACTATGGGGTTCCACTTGATTTTCCATGGCAATCGCGCGCAACGTCAAAAAACAACGCTTCAATCTTCTGCCACTACCTCCTCCATTGGCCTTTAGGTACTTGAATGACTACCCTTGTTACCGGAGATTGGTTTGTTGCTATGTTCCACACCAACTGTTTGTCGAAATTCCTGACTAGCTTCCTTCTCGGAAGCCCCACTTTGTGTTTGCTCTTTTGGGTGCCGGTTTTCACTAACGGACCTTTGTTTCGATCTCTTTGAAGCATTGTCCCGTGATATCTTTTTTTCCTTTATTTTTGGGTCGTTACGTCTTTAAAGTGTCCTGCAGGAGAACAACTATGGCGGGCGATGATATCTCCATGGAAAGTAGCGAGCTGAAACGTCAAAAGATGGACGGAGATGACGGACGTGATGCGACTAGTAATGTGCCAGACTCGGTGCTCCTCCACATCCTGTCCTTCCTGCCCACGAGAGACGCCGTGAGGACAGTGATGGTCCCGAGATTCCGTTACCTCTGGACTTCTACCCGCCACTTATCTTTCGATCACTGTGCTAACCATAACTGCAAGGAGGAGGCCGCTGCTTTTACCGACCGTGTGCTGACTCCGCACGAGAATCCCCACAATCGATTCGTTCCGCCTTTATTTGAACTATGCGGCTGAGGCGTACACCGATTATCCTCAATATGAGGGTGGTCTAACTGAAGAGACAAGAAGGTCGAACAAAATCGGTATGTGGATTCGTTTTGTGGCGAGGAGAAAGGTTAAGTTCCTCGATTTGGACTTCTTGGCGTGTGCTAGGGAAGTTCTTACATAATCTTGACTTCCCGCATAATCTTTACGTGCTGCCCAGCATTGTTCTGAGGTGTAGCTGCTTAGTAGAGCTGAAGCTGGCTTCCTGCGAGGTCAGACCGGTGGGACGGGTCCAACTAAGGTCGCTTATAAAATTGTTCATGAAGCAAATTGACTTAACTGACAACATCATGGCTGACATACTATCCGGTAGCCCGTTGCCAAAAGAATTGTCTCTTGAATATTGCGATGGCCTCCACGAGCCCAAATTCTGTTGTGGCCCATCTTTTGAAGAGTTAAATTTGGAGGATTGCGGCGGTTTGAAATAGCTTGATCTTACACGATCAGATATATAAAACATTTAAACATTGACCACAGTGGGCATCTAGAGTCAGTTTGTCCTAATGTGAAGATTCTGGATATTGCTGGGCGTATAAAGTATGTCAAGGTGACCGATATGTCATCACTGGTTGATACGTCCCTCTACTTCAGTCATTATCTTAGATATTCGTCCGGGAAATATCGTGAGTTGAGACTGCTTTTGGAAAAGCTCAGCTGCAGTCCTTATTTTATGCCATGCGATTTGTGCATACAGGTATGGTTTCTCTGCTGTTGCTCTGACCTAATTTGTCTTGCTTTGAGATACTTTTGAATGATTTGGGTCCTGATCCTTCAGGTAAGGGGTATTACTATTTGTTTGATAGGATATCCTCACATTTCAACTGTCATGAAATTTGTACGATATGAAGTTGGGTGAACTGACTTTGAATGGGTCTCATTCGAAATGGACAGCGGCTGTGCCGTTTCTCTGCTTTGGCTTCTGTGTTCTGTTGCTTTTTTTATGCTTCAATTCATGAGGTAACGTCCTGGATGAAGAGTAAAAGAAAATATTGTTTACTTAAGCTGGGTTCTTTTATTTATGCCCACCTAAACTTTTATATGGCGGCCTTCCTTGCATCTGCTGGCCTATGAACTTTGAGAAAATGTAAACTATTATCCATAACCCACTCATGTAATCGAAAACTACCGCTTGTTAGGTGCCTGTCTTCTTTGTGTCCCCGTTTGCCTCATGGCATTTTGTAGACGATATTGTTTTCATTTTTAATGTGACATCTATTACCATTTTAAATGTGCATATCCATGCTCTTGTGATTTGTCTTTCTAATATTTTAGCATAATCTGATAAATTTCTTGACAAGACTCTGAATTCGATGGAATCATACTAATTCATTTCAGTCAGTCCATACATGCACATGCTCTCAAGCATCCACAATGTATGTCCTGTGCTAATTTTCATTTAAAGTCGGTCCAATTAATTCTATTTAAATTAGGTATTAACTATGTGGGAGCTGACAAATCAGCCATATCCATCTTTCGCCTGGAAGCACGTAACACTTCAAATGCATCTGAGAAAGCAGTACCTCCCCGACATTTGTAGCTTGTTAAGGAACTCTCATTTTCTTGAGACACTCGCTATTTATGTTTATCCTGGAAGATATGGCGATGAATCTGAGGTATGAATGCTTGAACTGTAAAATTTTATTGGAATATACGAATTTGGAAGTAACGGAGATTGAAAAGTTGCTTTAAACTTTTAGCTTGCTGAAGCAGGGTGGAAGCTTGCATTTGAGTTCAATGGCTTTAGTTACTGGACTTCAGTCGACGGCATATTTCCCTGCCTCGAGCACCAGCTTAAGCATGTTAAGATATATGGTTATGTACAGGAGCCTGAAGTCATTGAGCTCATTGAATTTCTACTTAAGAATGCACAGGTCCTGGAGAAAATAGAGATTTCTGCCAAGAAGACTCTGCAGCGAACACATAGCAAGTACATGTTTGCCAGTGACATTGGTCGTCCGTCAAAGGATTATTGTACATCAGACACACTCCTAGAGTTTTCACAAAAGTTGTTAAGTTTCCCGAGGGCCTCAACTTGTGCTGTAATACACCTGGGTTAGATACTGGAATTGGAATTGTGTTCACCCCTCTTTTGGACACCCTTGATGTTTCTATTTCAGGCATGTCTCACATCTGATAGACTTTACAAAAGTAGTTGGCCTTTATGATGTATTCGCTTTTTTGCCTCAGGTCTAGCAACATCCCCGACTCTGTACAGGCAGCTTTATGAATATTTTGATAGTGGATGTGTCTTTTTTTGCCAAAGTGTGTTTCTCTTGACAACCTTTCTTTTCAAATTCCCAGCTCTTTCTGATAGTTCGGCTAAATTTTTGCAGTATAGATTTACTTGAATTATCTCTTGATACCAGTTACAAACAGTTAATTCCCTCCTGTGGCTGCTCTTCTCTCTTGGTTTTTCACTTTATAGGCTGGTGTCTTCAATGTTTCACTTTTCAGCTTTAGCTACCATTTCTTTGTCCTGAAAGGAAGTCAATGCAGGTCAATATTCTTGAGTACCGCCCTTGAATGATTAGTATATCAACATCAATATCAGTACAATCGTAACCTACTGTACAGATTCCGTGAAGTATTGAGTTGTGCAGTCATCAAGTTCGTGTCTTTTATTAAAGTCTACTCTAAAACTGTTATCCTATGTGCTCGTCTTCCTAATTATCCAGACCTTTCTGCTCATTATTCCTCACGAATGATGTTAGAGCTCAATGGAAGACCTTCCATGAGAAAATCGGCCATCAATCTGGACTTTAAGTAATTTGGCAATCGACCCCTTGAACTTTGAATTGGGTGAAACCAGTCCAACTTTGTGGGAATCTACTTCATCCCCTCCTGACACAGGTTGTTTTCAATGAAACTTTTCGTAGTAACATGTCCGTCAAGCATAGATCTCAATCAGTATATGCACTTCAACCGCCACAATTCCAAGATAATAAGTGATGCTCTAATATGAGATTTCACAAATAGAGCACTCCCACATTGTTTTTTGGAAACCTAACGTAAATGATGTCAGAAATGACAAAAGTCGAATCAAATGGGATTTTGATTTCTGAACCAAATAGATAGTTTCGGCTTGATCGGCCCGTCTCGGTTCGGTTCAACATTTGAACCGAACTTGTACCCGCTCGATCTATTATATTCGAGTCCAAGTTGCTTCACTTGCTTCTTCACACTCCTCCATCATACTTTCGTAGAATTTGTGCACGCTAAATGGAAGCTCCCAAATCAGTCATGTCCATCTTAAACTTGCGAGTCCGTGATGCTTCAATTGCTACTTAGCAAGTGAGACCTCCTTGGTATTTCTAGCTCGTACAAGTGCTCGAGATGAAAGAACAGCTTGGATTCAAATTTCAGCTCATTGATTTAGGGTGGGTGAAAAAAAAAAAGAATTAGGGTGGATGAAAGCACATGACTTCCACGGTTAAATCTAGTGCCTCAAGCAATAGCTTAAGCATGTACAGATATATGGATGTTAAATTGTGAAAGCTACAAAATCTAAATAATTTGAAAAAATGAAATGCAATTAAAATTCGACCCAAAAAAAGAAATAAAATTAAATTGTGAAAGCTACAAAATCTTTTCAAAAAAGTTGAATTAAAAGTTAATAACGATTTCCGCCTTTTTTTTGTCCCATGAGTTACTGAATCAGCCATGTTACCGGCCGCTTTTTTACATTTCTTGCTCCTCTTCGATTTCCCCAACCCAAAGACAATTCACATTCGAATCATTTGAGCACTCCACCGTGTGCCGGACTGGAACTAAAAATGTTTGACATGCGGAAGACGAAGCATCCATGTTCCCGGCACACGACGTCACTTGGCTTGTTTCTTGTTGCACTCCAAGCGTTTGTAGAATGTCCTGACTGGGTTCAAACTTCCAACCCCCTTTTCTGACATAATTTTGTTTAGCCCCGGATTTCTCTCTCAGATCCATTTCTCCTTTATTGTTGTGGTTTTGATCACATCATAGGGGTGTACAATGCATGAACTATTTTATATGTATCTTCTGACATATTTTTTTGTTATGTTTGTGTAATTCGCAGAGTGTGTCCTGGAGTAGATCAACTATGGAGGGCAATAATGTTGTTGCCGAAAGCAGCAATGCGAAAAGTTGGAAGGGCCATAAAGATGGTGGAAATGATGTAATCAGTAGTTTGCCGGACTCAATACGGGTCTCTACATACATTCCTTCCTACCCATGAGGGACGCTGTACGGACAGTGATGGTCCCGCAATTCCGTTACCTCTGGACTTTTGCGCAACTTATCTTTTGATCATTTCTTTCCATAACTGTGAACTGTGAAGAGCAGACAGTGTCACAATGGTCTTGAGTATGATGAGAAGTTCTTCAATTTCACCAACCGTGTATTGACCCTGCATGAGAGCCCCACAATTGACTCGTTCCAGCTCAAGATGGATTTCTATTTGAACTACGCAACGGATGAGGATGTTTGTGATAATCCTGAATTCGAGGACCATGTAATGAAATAGAGAAGAATGTCGAACAAAATCGATTCAGGGATTTACTTTGCAGTGAGGAAAAAGGTTAAGTTCCTCGATTTGGGCTTCCTAGGGTGCGGCATTTCAGTTATTTCTTACAGGTTACCCAACATTACTCTCAGGTCTAGCTATTTAGTACATCTCAAGTTAATTGCTTGTGATGTCAAACCACTAGGACCGATTCAATTGAAATCGCTTAAAAACTGTCACCGAAGGAAATTATGCTAACTGAGAAGATACTCGGTGAGATAGTATATGCTTGCCCATTACTTGGAGAGCTGTCTCTTGAAAAATGCTATGGTCTCCAGAAGCTCAGGTTCAATAGGCGCTCATCTATTGAAGAATTGAACCTTGACATGTGTGAGGGCTTGGAGAAGCTTGATCTTGCTTCCTCTTATGCAAACAAATGAGTATGAGATCGGCTCTCTTGAATTATTTGGCAATGTTCTAAATGCGGAGTTTAATTTGGTGGCTTGGAAATGTTGAAGATAAGGAAGAAACTGTACAATCTAGATCTTCCTTCACTAATATGCTCAGAGGCACGTCCATCGTCTTGTTCCAACGGCGTAATTTCACTCTCATTTCCAAAATTCCTAATCTGCCACATCTCTTCCCTTTCGATTAACCAAAATCAGACACTAAAAGTTTATTCCATAAAAGATAACAATGCTGTCGAAGTCGGTTTACTGTTTCAGGGTCGCAATTAAGTTGAAGTGACTGGCTTCCTTTTCTATCAGTCTAAACAATTCTTTCTTCTATCGGGTATTGACTATATGGGAATTGACCCAACGGCCATGCCCATCGTTTGCATGGGAACATTTGACGCTTGAAGTGAGTCAAACAGAGTGGCACCTCCCTGGGATTTCTAGTATAATTAACTTCTCATACTAGTAAAAGATCTAAGCCAAACTATTACGTATATAAGATGAAAGAAATAGGTGGTAGCCCTAAGACAGGGAGATTTGTGTTATGCCTTCATGCATCATAGCTAGTATTCGTTAACAATTATTGGTTCAGTTACTACCGGCAAAATTTATTATCACTGGCTAAGTGTAATATTCAAGTTTTCTTTGTCTCGTCTCGTGTTGGCGGTTTAGGGGTGGGCAACAGGTTCAATCCAACCCAATTTTTAGCCGGAACCAGTTCAATTCTCGGCTCCAAAATCCTAAAATTGGCCTTTCCTATTTGGTTCGGCTCCCAGTTCTTATCTTAGAACCACCAGTTTGAATCAAAATCTATAATAAAATTTACTATCTAGGGAGAACGTTGCGTAGTATAAAAGAAAACTCAGACCAATGATAAATAGGAGAACGGAACTTGCAGCTCCATAGGAAAGTTACAGGAAAATAATGATAATAGTCACTAACAAATCAGAATGTATCCAAAAGTCGTTTTGAAGAAACAAAATTGCAGCAACTTCAATATCTCGAAAATATTTCATTGTTGATAAGTAAGGTGCCGTTTGGAGTCATATATTTTTTATTCATAATCAATTAAATCAATCAAACTTGTTTATATAATCATTTAAATGTTTCTAAGTGATAATAATCTATGGTTACACAACTTCAACGTTAGGTTTGAGTGCTAAGTTTGTACTCTGTTACCTTAGTCATCCTTATGAACAATGTTAAATGCCAGCTTGTCGCAAAACGTGGCACTCGGTGCCTACCTTCTAATGAATGGAGTACCTAAAGCGAACAAAACGTCGTTGTTTCATGGATCGGATTATCCTTTAGCTTTTAGAGCATAACAAAACTGTCATTTAGATTGTCCCGTTTGCTAGCTATTGCTTCTGCTGGGCGAGCCCCCATCAATTTTTTTGTGAGTTTCGTTCTTTACATGGTGTAATCAAGATGGCGTCATTTTGGACTGACAATTTAATCGCACTTATCGACGACTAAGGTAAAAGTGGCCAAAATTGTCCCATGGTTTGCCTTTTTTGGAACATTTGAAAATTGTCTATTGGGTGTATACGTACGTGCGTTCTCTTATGTGCATTTCTTCGGTACGTTTTGGAAATTCTTTTGCCATAGTTGTCCCTCCGGTGCCTTTTTTTGGGTAAAGAGATATGGAACTGTCAGACTGACCAAGTAGCGGAACATAGAGGCAGAGGAGGTGGGACTACTGATCAGGGGTGCTTCGAGCTCAGGAAGGGTTCCCCCAAATGAAGGCAGAAGAAGGGACATAGCTTCGAGTTCAGGAAAGGGCGCGGCTACGGGTTCATGTACACAGAGGTTCAAGCTCGGCAGGAGCAGAACCTCGGACATGGAGGTCCTGATGAGAACAAGGAGGCAAACAGGAACAAACATTGAATCACTTGTTCATTGTAGTTTCCCTCTGATTCTTCCCTGGACGCGAGCTAGTTGATCATTTTTACCAAAAAAAACGTGAACTGTCAGAAATTGGATGCACTGAGTGAATGTGTTCTTGTAATTCGGGTTCTTCTCTTGAACTCATGAGCTTCTACTATTTTGGTGTCATGAAATAGAGCCCTACGGGACACAGTGACACTCTGCCGGTCCAAATAAAGCTACATATGTACTTAATTCTTAGTCTTTTTTTTTTGTCAGAATTTATTTCTCAGTCTGACACAGTGGTTTTTCATACATATTAAGTTAGTGATTTTGACCAAAAAAAAAATTTGGTGATGCTTCAACTTAAACCATTTTTCCAGAGGTTTCTCTTGAAATAGGTTATGCAATAAGACTTCAAATAATTGTCACTGGCATGAACTTCATAGGAAAATTGTCCAAAA